CCTTCGTTGGGAGACTCGCCCACCATTTCCAAGTGCGCGACGTGAGTCAGTCTGGATTAGTCGGGGTGAAGCCCCAGATACCGGAAGGGAAACCAAAAAAAAAAAAAACAAAGTAGTTATGTCTCCTAGATCAATTTGCAAATTGCCATGCATAATCTATATAAATAGAACTTTCAATCCAATAGTTAATTTTTGAAAATATTAATTAGAGGACTTTTTAGAAAAGTCTCCAAAAAAATTTGAAAGGACAACTTGCAAAACACTTTTCTCATATTTTTGCAGGTAATCTTCTCAAATATATTTGGGAGGACCCTTCTTAAAACTCATTTTCTAATTTATATTTTTAAAAACCAGTGGTTGAGTTGAAAGTTTAATCTATATATATAGATCATGTATGTCAATTTTTAGATTAATCTATGAGATCTAATCAGTTTGTTGATTGCACAAAATTTATCACCATTAAATACATAAGTTTTTAAACAAGTCCTTGATGTTGAAATATAATTTATTTAGATCTTGTAGAGTTTTCTTAAATTTGGACATGTAAGTTTTAACACCAGACTTACATTTAATTTAAAATCAATTAGCAATAGATGGAGTAGCATTCCTCATATTTAATTCACATACTTGTTTACTATTTTTCCAATCTCACTTAACACACCTTCCTCAAGTTTAAGTTCAGTATCAACTTCAAATCTTTGCACATGAATTTCAAGCTAAGGACTTAAGAAACATTCCTCACATATAGGTCTAATTTGCCACATAGATCTCAGACTAACAAACATGATTGATATGCCCTCTTCTCATGGAGGCCAAAGGAATAGGGCTTCTCAAAAATAAAGCCTGGCTTTTGATACCAAAAAATTGAATATGTGAGTTTCGGCATAAAACTTTCACTTAATACAATCAATTGATAATGAGTAGAGTATCTTTTTTTTATATTTAATTTGCATATTTATTTACAATATTTTAATATAAGATTTTTTTACTTAACAAGTTTAAAAGAGATGTTCCTTTACAGATAAAGCAAAAATAACAATAACTCAGCTAATACCAACCACCTTGTGAATTTTGATTAATTCTCGAGTTCTAACCAGTTAAGTTTCATGTTAAGTCATATTATAAAGGATTGGTTAAATATTAATTTTGATCCCTTAACTTTATAAAATTGTACTTTTTTATCACTCAATTATTTTTTACATTTTTTTGGTCCTTCAACTCCAAAAAATGCATAATTTTGATCTTCCATCAGTGAGTCGTGTTAACTCTGTCTACGTGACATTTTTCTTTTTTTTTTTTGTAATGATGTGTTAATGACAAACCATACAATTAGTTTAAGTGGATAATACCCAATCAGATTTAATTGTAAATTTTTATTTTTTTCAATTCTTTAAATATAAAATTACTAAAATATCCTTAATTTATTCTTCTTACCATCATTCTCCTCAGCCCTTTGTCTCTCTATTCTCTTTACCACCGTCGGAAACGTCTCCATTCTCCTCACCACAGCCATTGTTTCTGACCATCATTCCATCCATTGTTCCTCTCTATTTATCACTATTCTCTTCTTCCCTCCCTTTCTTCCCCCTTCCTTAACTATGAGTAGATTCGCGAGGAACCCAACAATGGATTCGTTGCAAACCCAGAGGAACCCAACAATGGGTTTGTTGCAAACCCAAAGTAACCCAGCAATGGGTTTGCCGTGAACCCAAAGGAACCCAACAATGAGTTCGCCTGAACCCAGGCGACCTGGGTTCGTCGCGAACCCAGATTGCGAACCCTGGCGACTAACAAACCCAGGTTGTGAACCTAAACAACTTGGGTTCTTTGCGAACCAAGGAATGGGTTCCTAAGGAACCCAAATTTGGATTCTTCGCGAACCGAGGAATGGGTTCCTGACTGGGTTCTTCAGGAGCCGAAGAATCTAGATCTGGGTTTGCCCAAACCTAGAAACTAATTTTGGTTTTCCTTCTTGTTCTTAACTTCAATTTCTCTTAGTTTTGTCTGCGATTTTGAAAGAATACCAGATTTGAACATTTTTTACAGGGAAAAGCATAGGGTTTATAGATGAGATTGTGGTTGGTTTTGTTTGGATTTGTCTACGGGGTAGAAATCAATTGATTTGGCAAGAACCCAGATCTGGGTTTGTACAAACCTGAGAACTGATTTTGGTCTTCGAACTTCAATTTCTCTTAGTTTTGTCTATGTGATTTTGGTGGGATGCCAGATCTGAACATCTTTTATGGTGAAAAGCATAGGGTTTATAGATGAGATTGTGGTTGGTTTTGTTTGGATTTGTCTACGGAGTAGAAATCAGTTGATTTGGAGAGAAATTTGAAGCCCAGAGCAATGGAGGGGAAAGAGAATCATTTAATTAATTAAAATTAATTGACATAAAATGGTTAAATTTTTAATTAATTTGTAAATATAAAAGGAGATGCAGGAATGTGGGAACGTGGGACTCATTTGAGGGGAGTTTTGACACGTTTGATATGTTGATTCATTGGAATATGATGGCATAATATTTTGTTCATATCAATAATTTTTTTAGTTGTCTTTTCTGTCATTAAAAAAATATAAAAAATATCAGGTAGACGTAGTTAATGGAGCTAATTAACAGAAGGTTAAAATTGTATATTTTTTTGGAGTTGAAGGATTAAAAAAATATAAAAAATAATTGAAAGATAAAAAAAACGTAACTTTAAAAAGTTGAAATTGTATATTTTTTTGGAGTTGAAGGATTAAAAAAATATAAAAAATAATTGAAAGATAAAAAAAACGTAACTTTAAAAAGTTGAGAGAACAAAAATAACATTTAACGTAAAGGATTCAACAGCAAAAAGAATGGAAATTTTCAATCACAAATATGATGGTTAAGGCCTCATCATATCAAAAATGAAAAAATTACATATGATCCTTAAAGTATCAAACAACTAACTCTTATATGCAAAAAAAAAAAAAAAAAGTTACCTACTTTTAAAGAAAACTCAGCTTTGGGTTTATTCCAGTGTTGCTTCCTTATGAAACAACGTAGAAGAGAAGGAAAAAACCGTCAGCTCGTGCAATATTGGATGGTTTGCTTACATGGGAACTAACAACTCAATTTTTGGGGGACAAGTAAGGAACACTTTCATTTCCTTTCTCAGAAACCATTGTGAGCCTATTATTCTACTTGCTCGAAAATGGTTAGGTTTGGAATAAGGATGCATGCCTCCCAAGAAAAGGTGTCTGAAAATGAATTCCATGACACCACAAAACAAAATTAACTACATTATCAATTCCAGTCCCTATATAATATTTCTATACATTTGTTCCCATCAAATTTTCAATAAAAGCTATACGTTCACCTCTACAGAAGTTAATTTCTGTTTGTGGCTTGTCATCCATGGCTAACATCAGGGGAACAAGAGTGCTAGGAGACAGAAGACAATCGCGTGATCATCTTGTTGAAGAGTTTGTTCCTCTTTTTGGTTGGACAGAAGACTCTAAAGGCTATTATCTTCTTGTTCAGCTTCCTGGTACACAATAAACGCCTTCATAATACTTGTTTCCTGTTTAATAGTCAAAACAGGAAACTCGTAACTAAAATGAAATATTACCATTGCTAAAATATATGAACACTAACGTTCTTGTCTGATGTCCACCTCTAGATTTCAAAAGTGATCAGCTGAGACTTCAAGTTGACTCCAACGGTGATATAATTCTTAGTGGGGAAAGGAAGGTGAATGGGGGCAAAGCTGTATATGTCAAGCAGACCTACGAACTGCCAAAGGATTCAGATGTTGACAAGATAACTGGAACTTTTGATGAAGAGCTTCTTCATATAACAATTCCAAGGCAAGAAGAAAAAGTAGTTGAGAGTGAGCATGAGGAAAATGTCCACATATCTCCAGGTAATGGGCAAGAACCGCCTAAAAAAACTGAGAATCTAGGCAGACATGATGATGGAAGATATGATTACAAACAAGACCATGACAACCAAACTAAAGGAGACGAAAGCAAGAAAACTGGCCATGTAGATAGCTTCCCTAAAGAGTTCGTAAACGGACTCAAGGCAGGTCCAATGCAGAGGGCAATGGAGTTGCTTATGAAAAATAGGGGGATTGCTCTTGCAATTGTAGTAGCATTTTCCCTGGGAATGCTTGTGTCTAGAATGTTTGAATCAACTGGGCAATAAAGAGGCAAATTTTCAAGGTTATACATGATTTATGCCTCTTTAATGTACAGAGATATATCATGTCCACAATAAGGGAATTTGATATTTGTCTCTTGAATGTTCTTCAAACTTATCATATATAGATCTCTATGTTCATTTTGCTGATTAAAAAAAAATGTATAGATCTCTATCTTTATAAAATCAGGAACTTTAAAGTAGCTTGCATAAGACTCAAACTAGACGTAGTTCTGAATGAAAAAAGAGGAAGATCACTCAATAAGAAGGATTAATTCCAAAGAATCAATATATCAATTTTTTTGAAAATCATATTTGACATTTCCTTAATATAATGAATCGAAGCAATATACATTGTCTCTCATTAAAACTACATAAACCTTGCAATCTATGCAGAACAGAAACAAATGATGAGAAAATTGCCCCATCAGGCAATAATACAAATAATAATAAAGGACAAATTAAAAATCTAATTATTATGACAAATATTATATTTGAATTGCATAATATATGCTGTCTAGTTCGTTGTTTCCTAATGAGATGCATTTTATATGTTTTAAGCAAGGTTTTCAAAACCGAACCGGAGGTCAAATCATTTTGACCTTCAGTTCACGGTTTTAATGGTTGAACCAATTTAACCGAATAAAAAATCGAGTTGATTGAATTTTGAAAGTATATGTTTAATATAATATAATGCAATTCTTTGCAGAAGAAAAGAGATAGCATTGGTGGTTGGAACACTTGTCTATGTCATATAGAACTAGAGTTCGAATAATCTCAAATGTGTCAAATTTATTCATTTATATAATTCTATTATAATAAATAAATCTCAAGACAATAAGAACCAATAAACTTGATTTAGATCAGGTGGAAGAAGTTATTCTAAATATATAAAATGGCAAGTGTTCGAATCTCATGATAATGACTATGAATATTTTCTTTAGCCTTGTAATATTTTTTAAAATATAGTCTTTGTTACTCATTTCGTGAAAGGTTCAATGGCTTTAGTGGTAAAAGAGTTGTCCAAACCTAAGGTGATCTCGTGTTCGAGACCCAGCGGTAGCAACAAACTTTGCAAATTTTCTCTAAATAATTAACTTGGTTTGTTGGATGGTTTTTTGGTTCTTATCGGTTTGGACGGTTTTGAGTGGTTTGACCTCCTAAACAGTTTTAAGTATTAACTCGAGCCATTTCCATTACTGGGTATCGGTCCAACTGATTCAATTGGCCAGTTTGATCCAAGTTTTCAAAACATTGGTTTTAAGTTCTTATTTTAGCCTTAATTTTATCCAAATTGAAAATATAAAATATAAGTTTTTATAAATTTTACATAATTTTCATTGTTTGTATAGAGAAGGATTTGAAGGCAGAAGAATAGAAGTTTTGGGATGCCTTTGCGATTTAAGTACAAATCTTTTAAAAGTTGAGTGACTACATTGCTAGAAGAAAAGTTGCAACCAGGGACCTAAATTGAAGTGCTCTCATTTTAGTAATTAGGATCACAGTGCTCATATAATAGAAGTCGAAGTGGGAGGACACAGATGTGCTATTTACCATCGAAGAAATTGCAAAATGATCCAAAAAATTGATACGGGCTAGGTATCGACACAATATGTTAAGAATGACTGGAACACGTCGGAGGAAATTTTCCACCGTATGCGTCGATACCTTCATTGTGATGTGGACAGCCTCAAATTTCGGTGATTTTTATTTGGAAGTTTTTTTTGTTGACATGGGTCTCACTTCTTTGTTAATAGATTTTTCTTATACAAAATAAATACTTGTATGAGACCGGATTTTATGAGTTTTTGGAGACCCAAAAAGTGGTTGCAAAAAAAATAATAATATTATTAAAAAACAATAAGGCTTGAGTCTTTTATATTATTTAACCAGTTTAGTTTGTTTTTGAAATTTTTTTAAGATGTTAAGAACTTATATTTAGGGGTGTTCATATTCCATCTAATTCGATTTATTCAATCCTAACTACTCAATCTAATAAAAAAAACTAAATCAAATTATTATAAAATTGAGTTAATTTGATTTATAACATTTTCAAATTGATATAATTAGTTTGGTTTATTATTTTACTTTTAAACTATCCAAACCACTTGATTATAAAATAAAACATAATTACAAGATAACTTAATTAAATAATATAATATATATTTTTATAATATTTTAAATTTTCTTTTTCTTGTTTCACAAGATAATATCTCCATTAACGAAATTAAAGAATAAAAAAGAATATTTTCATATTCTCTAATTTATTTTTACTTTTTAATCATGTACTTTAACCTTAATTCTAAATTTCTAATTTATCTACAACTCTACCCCTCAAAATATTCTGTGACTCTACTCTTAAAACTTTAAATTTCTAATTTGTTCCTAAAATAATATTCTAATCTCCAAACTAAACTTTAAAGAAGTATCATTCTAGAAATCTCAAAACTATATAATAGAACTAGTCTTGATATTCTACTATTCTTGGATGTTTGTTAAGGAGTTTTATATTTTAATTATGAATGCTTTTAATCAATCTCAGTGATATTTATGTTAAATTTTATTCACTTTTAACAGAGTTTGGAAAATGAAATTGAATTATTAGTGCATTAAGAAAATTAAGAAAACTAATTTTAACCTTTAAAAATTACTTATATTGTGTGCTTGAAACTTTGAATAATTTTTTATTGTCCTTGGTGCCTCTATGATGTAACTAAGAAGAATTTTTTGATTTTTTTAATCTTTATAATTGTAAAAAAGTATAAAAACTTGTTCATAATTTATGCCTTTTATTATGTTTCTACCAATTTAGATATTAATGTGTTTGATAGTTGTGCTTTCTACTCAATATTAAAATTTTTAAAATTATCTCATATATCTAATAGTATTCAAACCAATCAATTCAACCAAACCATATTGATTTGATTTAAGTTGGATCAGTTTGGTTATTGTATAATAGCGGATTGGATTATTTTAAAATTTTACTATTCGATTAGATTGGATTGATTTTAAAAAATATTAAAATTCAAAACCAAACCATACTCTGAACACCCCTACTTATATTTTTATCATGAAATATTTATTTTTTTTAAATTTTAAACTAATTTAGTTATCTTAACAGATGAATTAGCTTAGTCAATTTAGTATAAAATTTCATGATTTTTATGGTTTCAGAGTTTATTATCTCATGTAAAGTACATATTATTGTTCTTAATGCTTTTTAAGGTTTTGTTAGTCACCATTAAAATTAATGTAGAGAGCGTAATTGATACCTAAAGGAAATTTTATGCAATAGCTTTTAATAATATATAGAAAGAATTTAAATGAAAGCCATAGATAATTCATGTAACATCAATGATAAGTGGAATTGAAAGTTTCTAAATAAGTTAGAGAGTTTCATATAACTTATTGTATCTTCATTTATTTAAATTCATGTAAATATATGAATTATAGGTGAAGATATGCTCAGTATAACTTGAGAAATTATATTAAATAAATTAAAGAATCCCACTACATATAAATAATAAATATATTGAAAGTATATTATAATTTAAACTCTATATCAGTTAATTATGATGAGGACGAGTATCTTAGAAACATATTAATTTGAGTTTTATATTAATTCATTATGATGAAATTAGATGCCTTAAAATCTCAAATCTTGGTTCCACTTAAGTCAATTTACTATTTTAATCAGTTTAATAAATTAGTAAACTCAATTTTTTTTAATTTTAAACTTTAAAATAAAATTAGAATTATTTAATTTTAATACCTAATTAATTTGCTGTCTTTGTAAAACAATACTTAACTCTATGCTCACTAGAGTGAAATAACTTCATTATTTCTTTTTTCCCAAATCTATAGAAAAATTAAAAAAAAAAATCCTTTTCAATTAATCTTCACATCTGAACTTGTGAATGTGGAAGGAAAAAATTTCCTTCCTACAACTTTCTTCAACAGAGAAGCCCCAACAAAATACTACTAAATTATTTATCATTTTGCTAAATCAATCTGTACACATGCGAAAAAAGGAGGTCGACCAGGTGGAATCAAACCTGAGAAAATTGTTAGTTTCATTAAACAAGATTCATAGAACTTTAACTGCTTAGTTTTAAACAAAGCAGCAAGTCAATGGAGGGTAAGTGCAACTTCACCAATGAAAAATGATAGTACTTGTAACTGAAATGGGGAAATTTTCTGTGACCCAATGTCACCAGACGTTGTAAAACTACTTTCACATCCTTTTTTGCTCTTCCACTCTGCCTCTATCTATGTTCATTTTACCTCTTTCAAGGGTCTTCCATTAGATTTCATCTTATAATTTGTCGAACAATTGAATCCAAGTCAAGGTGTTGTATGGCATGCAGTTTGCAGTAGACATAATTTTCCATGAATTTGACTTAAAAATATTCTGAGGGATGCAAGAACACTGTAATTGCACCAAACCAGAGATCCTTCTTCAATCTTCGTCTTCACTTCGGATTGACCTGCAAAGCCCCGAGGTGGGTCCTCAGGGTAGACACTCCGATACTTAAGTCAGCAATAATCGGGACTACCTTTAAAGCGGAGATAAAAGGAGCTTAGGGTTGGTTTCAATTACCTTCTTGACGTGGCCCTCGGGGGGCATTTATAGGCTCTAGTGAGGAACCCACGTGGCATGCCAAGCAAGATAGTTGGAGCCTGACGTGTATCCAAACGGTTATTTCGGGACCAGGAATTTGAGAGATATTCGGATGCAAGGACGTCCATCGTAGCTGCTGTGTGGCTCATTGTAAAGAATCAGGTGCGGGCATGTTTACTGTTGCTGTCATGCAGCTGTTTGAACAGGAATCTTGGATTTATCCTTCACTTACAAAAGTAAAAATAAAGATAAAAGTAAAAATCTGTAACTCACATGTATGTATGACCGTAGTCAATAGTGAAGTATGAGGTAGGGGATCATGATGGTCATGCCCCAAAGTAAAATGTGACAAAAATAATCAGAGCCATAGTCGTGATAAAAGTAAAGAGCAGAGTCAATGTGGCCGGGGCCATAGTAAGAGGAGATGACCAGAGTCACAATGTAACCAGAGTCGTGATAAAAAATAATGACCGAAGTCGCATCGGCCGGAGCCAAAGTAAAGCATGTGACACTGGGTCACTGTGGCAATAGCCGAAGTGAAACGTGTGACACTGGGTCATTGCGGTCAGAGCCGAAGTAAAACATGTGACACTAGGTCACTGTGGCCGAAGCCGAAGTAAACCATGTGACATTGGGTCACTATGGCCGAAGCCGAAGTAAAACGTGTGACACTAGGTCACTGTGGCCGTAGCCGAAGTAAAACGTGTATGACCAAAGACATCAGGTCGGTTGCCGAGGTAAAATACTTGTGCAAATTTGAAAATGGATAAAAGTGAGCAAAAGTGTTGAAATGAGCTTAAGTGGGCATGGCTGAGAAGTCTGACAAGGAGGCGGTACGCGACGCGACAGCTGTCCTCTGAATGACGTGCGTAATAAATGCCGCTGTAAAAAGATAACTATAACAGTCTAATGGGTAGATTTAAAAAACGAACCATCGAGTGCGAAACAGTGCCGTTTGGGGTTAACTGTCGAATTCGAAACGGTGTCTCTATAGCCGTTAGATGGAGCTAATCACAGCCATTGAGGCGTATTTTGCCTTTGGTATAAAAGGCTATACTTCTGTAAAGAGGGGTTTTTACTCTCGTTATTTTGCTATCATATTTTTCTTAAATTTCTACGGTTTCGTGCGATCTGCGCTTTGCTTGAGATTTCAACAACAGCTTCCCAAGATCAAAATTAGGTAAAGTTCATGAATCTTTGATTTTGATTTGGTAGAAGTGCTATTCTCCTTTCTCCCTTTCTGTTTTTGGTTTTGGGTTTTTTGAAGGAATTTAGGGTTAGGAGTGAGAATGTATTGAGTGTGTTAGAATTTTTAAGGGTCTTGACTCCGTTCCTCCTCCTACTTTATGCAAAAATTGAGGAGATGTCTTCAGAAGGGACCATGAGTGTAGTGGGGAGTGAAGTGATGCCCCTAGATTACGATAGCATGGATTCGGAGAGCAGTCCAACTCCATTTAGTTCGGAGAGGACAGTGGAGGAGAGGAGGGTTCGAAGGGTAGTAGAAAAGGAGGAAGATGAGATTCCCTCAAACATTTTGGAGGCTGGGAGTAATGTAGATGGGTGTTATGACCCAGGGTTAGATATAGTGTCTGAGGTGAGGGGATGTGTGAGTGAACTGGGTAGCAGGGGTAGTCTTAAGGGCCTCGTGGGTAACTGTAACCTTCCGCACCATGTCCTAATTAAGCCTGCTAGGGTGAATGAGAGAGCATGCTCAGCACCCCGAGACCACTGGATGCCCATGTACGTCCATTATTTGGTGGCAGGGCTTAGGTTTCCCATTCCAGAATTATTGGGTTGTTATTAGATTACAGTATAGGAATAACCCAACTAACCCCAAATGCCATAAGGGTAATAATAGGCTTTCTTGTATACTGCCGAGCTTGGGGGGTTGGGGTCCCTACAGTAAACATGTTTAAACAATTTTTCATAATAAAGGGTGGGGGTAAGGGGGAGAAGGGGTGGTACTACTTTGGCCCTCGGTCGTCCAACAAAGAGAATAGGAGTCTATTCACTTTTGGACTGTCATCCATCAAAGGATGGAAAGAAAAATTCTTCTTTGTGGATGACACCGAGTGGAGTAGGGGGGATGTCGAAGTAGAACAATTGTTTGCTTGGAAAGCTAAGAAAGCCAAGCAGAACAATTATAAGCTGAATGAGGATGAAGTGGAAGAGGTGGGGAAGCTGGTGAGGGAAGAAGGGGAGTTAGTGGATATTATGTACCTCACCAGCGCGGAGGCTATAAAGGCTGCTGAGCTCTATGGGCCAAGCTCATTGAGCGAAGGTTTGTGTATGTTTATTTTGTGCGATTTAGGTGAGATTTTAATTGGTGAGTTTTGACATTTATTTTTGTTTTGCAGTTGAAATGGGCAGCTTTTTGGACACTGCTGGGGGGCTGTGCATCCCAAAGAAGCCAAGGAAGAAGTCAAAGACTTTAACTGCGGCAGAGAAGGGGGTGGTAGAAAGGGAGCGGCTGTCTAGCACGTTTGCTCGGGCTTTGGAGATGCAGCCAAGGCCAGAGCCTGTGATGGGGCGCAATGAGGATGCGAGCGAGGAGGTGGCATCGCTCTAGAGGAAGAAAAGGAAGGTGACAGAGCCAGAAGCTAGGGGGGATGAGGTGGTTGAGTTCATGCTCCGGCCTTCTCCTCCAGAAGTTGATCCTGAAGTCAGGGAGAGGGAGGAGGCCGAGGTATGAGGCCCTGGCAAAGGCAAAGGGCCCTTTTCTCTACCTTCATTCCAGAAGAGTTTGTTCGAAGCAACAAAAACTACTAGGGCGAAGTGCTTCTCAACGCCACTCTTCCTGAGGTGGATAGGAGGCAAGCAAAGGAAGAGGCGGTGAGCCACTTGGGGGCTCGCGTGGTGAGGCACGCTCTAGAGGTATGTAAAGAGAGTGTAGTTTATTCATGTTTTACTTTTAATGTTATGATTTCTGCATGTGAGTTCTGACTTTTGTTTATATCGTAGAGTGCAAGCTGGGTTAACGCTCTAGCGCATGAGTATGCGGAGAGCGTGAGAGATTGTGCTAGCTGGCAGAGGCAATGTGAGGCGTTGTTAAAAGAGAAAAAGGAGCTGTAGAGAGAAAAGGAGGAGCTGTAGAAAGGGAATGAGGAGATGCAGAGGAGATTGGATGAAGTTTTGCCTTTAGTAACCGAGCTCCAGAATGAGAATGATACCTTAAGCACGAGACTCATCTTCGAAGAACGTAAGAGGAAGATCTATGAAGACAAGCTCGAGGCTCAAGACAAGTATATTGATAACATGAAGAAAGGAGCAGCGGAGCTGAAGAAGAACGTGAATCTGTTGGTTCACAATGGGATGGAGGAGCACATTGGCAACTTCCTTAACTCCAGCATCTTCGAGAACATCATCAACCTCTACCGGCTGCCAACCGCAATTCTGGGCTTCACCGACTGTAGAAAGAAGGTGAAAGCTTAGTACCCGGAGGTGGACGTCACAACAGTCACCTTTGGTGAACAAGAAGAAGGAGTGGAAGAGGATGGTGAGAGCTTTTCTGCTAATTTCCCACCTTTGATCAAGCTGAGGTGGGAGCATGACGTGGAGGGACGCACTATCTTCCCTCCAGCCTTTGATGCTGAGCTGGTGACAGTGGAGGAAGAAAAAGAAGAAGAAGAAGAAGAAGAGGAAGAAGAAGAAGAGGTGCAAGGTGCTGGAGGGGAGGATCAGGCAGACCTGACCGAAGTACAGCCTCCCGTAGTTCATCCAGTCTCTTCTAATGAAGTGTAGCAGCTCGCTCCTCCTAAAGCAGAAGTGCCGCCTCTGCCTGCTGGAGATGAGCCACCTCAACCACCTCTTTCTGCTAAGGAGCAACCTCCTCCTTCAGCAGAGTAGCTTAGGTTTTCATATCTTTTAGGTGTATTTGTAAATAACATTTTTGTAATTGATGTTTTATTATTTTATAAAATTGTTGAAGTTTATTCTTGGTGTTCAGTTTTGGTTTCTAATTGCTGTTTTACTTTAAGTGAATTACTTTGGATAAAACAAAGTGACTTTAATTAACACAAGGATCTGACCTCGAACACGATAAAATGGATAGTAAGGGAATTGACTTCAGGTATACATGAGGCGTACCTCAAATATACCGATCAAAAAAGATAAAGTAAATCACTTCAAAAGTAAAGTGTGACTGATTAATAAAAATCCTTTCCCCAAAAATGAAGTGACTAAAGAAGTCACAATGAACTAACTTCAGAAATAAGTGAACTCCACTTCCAACGTGAAAGGTAAAAAGAACTGAATCACTTTGTATGTGAAGTGAAATTCATGAATGAGATAAATGAATTGAGTTCGGATGTACATTGAGCAGAAAAATGGAATAATGACGATTATAAAAATAAGACAAAGTTTACTAGAAAGAGGTGTATTAAGGGTAAAATTTCTTCAAGTTATTGACATTCCAGACTCTAGGAACCCTTTTGCCTTCGGTGTCCCGTAGGATATAAGCACCTGGGTGTGGCACTTCGACTACAACGTAGAGGCCTTCCCAGTTTGATGTTAATTTTCCGAATCGAATTTCAAACCCCGTTAGACCAGCTTTCCTGAGAACAAGGTCTCTTACTTTGAACAGTTGGGGTCGAACTCGTTTGTTGTAGAAGTTTGTTATTTTCTGCTTGTAGACTAGAGTTTGAAGTCGTGCTTCTTTTCTGACTTCATCAAGCAGATCAAGGTTCTCTCGAAGTAGTTGTCCATTTCGTCCTTCATCGAAATGGGTGACCTTGAAGCTTGGGACTCTTATCTCGATAGGAATGATTGCTTCGGTACCAAAGGCCAGATGATAGGGTGTTTCACCTATTTCAATTAATTATAACTTTAGAATGCGCTTTACGTGTTATGTATATTTGCTCTAAGGTAAAGCCGTAGCAGAAGGAGTAAAACAATATAAAGTTAATTAAATAGACCAGGTTTGAAGTAATACCTGTGGCAGTTCGGCTCGTGGTTCTGTATGCCCAGAGGACGTTGTTGAGCTCGTCTGCCCATCTGGCCTTGTGCTTTTCCAATCTCGGCTTTATACCTTCTAAAATGCATTTGTTAACAGATTCGACCATGCCATTGGACTCAGATGGTAAACCGAGGTGAACTGCAATTTGATCCCGTAATTGGAATAGAAATCTCGAAATGAGGAGCAATTGAATTGAGTTCCATTATCAGCGACAATCTGACTCGGGATCCCATATCTGTAAATAATCGAGCTGAAAACAAAGTCTTCGACCTTCTTGGAGGTAAGACTAGATAATGCCCGAGCCTCAACCCATTTAGTGAAATAATCCACACCAACGATGAGATAGGTTACACCATTGACCCCTTTCATGAATAGACCCAAGAGATCCAGCCCCCACTGGGCAAATGGCCATGGTGCTACCAAGTTCATGAGCTCTTCTGATGGTTGGTGAGTTAGATGTGCGAAGAATTGACACTTCGGGCATCTCTGAACAAAGTGGGTAGCCTCCTTGTACATGTTTGACCAATAATATCCCTGCCATAAAACTTTGTGGGCCAGAGTTCTAGCACCAATGTGACTCCCACAAACACCTTCATGTACCTCCTTCAGTGCATACTCAACTTCGTAGGGATTTAAGCATCGTAGAAGAGGAAATGAGAAAGATCTCTTATAGAGGACCCCATTAATGAATGTATACCGAGATGCTTTCTTCCTCAATTTCATTGCCTCCTGCCTATCATCAGGTACTATCCCGTCTCATAAAAAGGAGATAATTGAGTCAGTCCAGCTCAGTGTGTTTGGGTTTGTGCTGATCTCCATCACCCGCGACTTCATGAAGCTTGGTTCATCTAAGACCTCCACAAAAACTGATCTGGAACTTAAAAATCTATCCGAGGCAAATTTAGAGAGTGAATTTGCCTGTTCATTCTCTGTTCGGGGAATTTTGCTCAAATAGAATTTCTGGAATTTGCACCTCAGCTCAGCCACCAAGGCTACATATTTCACCATCACAGGATCAACGACTTCACAGATTGAGTTAATTTGGTTCACCACCAGCTAGGAGTCACTGTATACTTGGATCGCGCTGATTTTCAACTCTAATGCTAGCTGTAGACCAAGTAGCAGAGCTTCATACTCAGTCATGTTGTTTGTTGCATCGAAGTTAAATTTCAGGGCATGTTCACTTCGGTATCCATCTGGGCCAATCAAGAGAGCTCCAGCTCCTGAACCCTTGCTACTAGATGCGCCATCGACATATAAGGTCCAATCGTTGGATTCTGGATTAGGGGTTGAATGACCTGGAGTGCACTCTACAATAAAATCTGCCAATGCTTGAGCTTGGATTGCAGATCTCTATTAAAATGTTATTTCGAAATCCCCCAGTTCTATTGCCCACTTAATTAATCTCCCAGAGCACTCTAGCTTTTGTAGAATCTGTCGAAGAGGTTGGTCTGTAAGGACAATGATTGGGTGTGATTGGAAATATGGCCTCAAGTTCCTGGTCGAAGTGACAACTGCTAAAGTTGCTTTCTCAGCTATAGGATACCTCAGCTCTACTCCGTGCAGCACACTACTGATATAATATATTGGTTTCTGCTGCTTGGATTCTTCTCTCACCAAAACTAAACTAATGGCTTCATCTAAAATTCCCAAATACAAATAGAGAATCTCTCCATCTACAGCCTTAGTCAGTAGAGGTGGCAAGCTAAGATAAGAGTTCAGCTCATTGAATGCGGCTTGGCACTCTTGGTTCCATTCAAATTTCTTTTGTTTTCCTTATTCATCCTTCTGGGCGGCTGACCTCATAATCTTGAAAAATGGCAGGCACTTATCAACTGACTTCAATATGAACCGATGAAGAGCTGCCACCCTTCTAGTCAACCTCTATATATCTTTCACTGATTTCGGCGGTTCCATCTTGGCAATTGCTTTGATCTTCTCTGGATTGACCTCAATCCCTCTCCGGGAAACCATGAAACCTAGAAATTTGCCAGACTCCACGCCGAAGATGCATTTGGTCGGGTTTAACTGCATTCTGTTCTTCTTGAGATTGTTGAAGGTTTCATCGAGGTCAGCTAGATGATCTTCTGCTTTCAGACTCTTTACCACAATATCATCGACATAAACCTCCAGATTCCTACCAATCTGAGCTCGGAAGACGATGGTCACCATTTTCTAATAAGTAGCACCTGCGTTCTTTAAGCCAAACAGCATCATGACATAGCAATAAATTTCATCGCCAGCATAGAACAAGGTTTTCTCTTCGTCCTATGGAGCCATCGGCACCTGGTGATACCTGGAATATGCATCCAAGAGACTTAATCTCTCATTGACCGATGCTGCTTCGACCAATTTGTCAATGCTCGGCATCGGATAGCAATCCTTGGGGCAAGCTTGGTTAAGATTTGTGTAATCGATGCACATTCTCCATTTACCATTTGCCTTCTTCACCAGGACTGGGTTAGCCACCTATTCGTAGTAATCAACTTTTCTGACGAAACCAGATTGTAAAAGTTTCTCCACCTCTTCTTTTATAGCCTGAAGCCTCTCCCCCCCAAAGAAACATCGCTTCTGGGCCACTGGTTTCTTCAACGGGTTAGTGCTGAGCTTATGTTGAGATACCGAGGGTGGAATTCCTGGCATATCTGTCGAGGTCCACGCGAAGACATAATTGTTGGCTCAAAGAAAAGCTATTAGCTCTGCTCATTCCTCCGGGTTCAATCTAGTTCCAATTTGCGTCTTTCGGCTCGAATCTCTGTCATCAATGAGCACTTCTTCAACATCTTCGACTGGAGCAGCTCTGGTCTCATCTTCTGGTCGGTTATCTACTATTTCAACACCCATGACTTGCTGATGATCGGGAATCCGTTGGGGGATGGCCTCGGGTGTGTGATCTTTGCCTTTCTTAGGTTGTGTGACCGAGGTGATATAGCAATGTCTGGCCACCTCCTGGTTACTCTGCAGTGTTGTTATTCCCATAGGAGTTGGGAATTTCATGCATAGGTGAGACTGGCAAACCACAACTCGAATTTCAGTCAGCGTGGGTCGGCCAATGACAACATTAAAAGAGGACGCCATCTTGACTACTAGGAACCAGACTAAAGGAGTCACATAGGTGCAGCTACTCCCAAAAGCAACATGGAGGGTAAGAACTCCTTCTACCTGAACAGGTTGGTTGTTGAAACCATAAATGGGACCATCATATCTCTGCAATAATGCTGGATCCAATCCAAGACTCTCAAAACAGTGGAAGTACATGATATCTGGTGCACTCCCGGTGTCAACAAGGACACGTTGTACTTCATAGTTGTTAATCATGACAGAAGTGACCAACAGATCATTGTGGGGTGTAACAACGGTGTCAAAATTAGCAGATGTGAAAGTAATGGGTTGATTCTTCTAGTCAGCGTCGTCGAACTTCCGTTTCTGAGCTTGGTTCTGATGTTTAACTTCTCTGACATACAACTTTCACTGTTTAGAGCTCAGTCCACCTACTTCCAGGCCTCCGATAATCATGTGTATGATTCTAGCTGGTGGTGGGAGTGGAGGTGAGGCTTGCTGATATCCCACACCTTGCCTGTTTGGTGGATTGCGGACTCCTTGAGGCTGTGGCCTCTGTTCTCTAACAAACCTTGGCTGTTCAGCTCTTTGGATGTACTCATTCAACATTCCCTTCTGAGCCAGACTTTCCAACTCGGACCGCAGACTGTTGCATTGCTCTGTTGTATGACCGTGGTCTTGATGAAAATCACAATATCTATTATGATCTCGGCTAGCAATAGTAGTTATCATTGGGCCAGGACGCCTTAAATCCATCTTGTTCTTAATCTGCATGAAAATCTGTGACCTCGGCAAATTAAAAGGAGTCCAAGTAACTGGGGGTTTACCTGTAGACTGTTGTGGGGGTGCTGAGTTCGGCCTTCTGAATCTCGGTGTAGAGGTCGACATCGGACCTCGGTTCTGTGCCATCCTCATCCTTTTCCTGCTCGGATTCTCATCTCTCCAGTTTGGGTTTTGGTTCTTAGGGGGAGTTGAGTTCTGCGCCAGGGCATATTCCTCAGCAGTTATAAATTTCAGGGACCTATCATTCACCTCACTAAAGGTAGTGGCAGGGTGTTTGAACAAACTGTCTTGGAATCTATCATGTTTAAGACCTGAGATCATAACTGCAATCCCCACAACCTGGTCGAAGGAACTAACCTCCAATACTACATCATTGAATCTGCTCATATAGTTCTTCAAAGATTCTCCATCCCTTCGTTTAACTCGCATCAACTCAGAAGTAGTTTTCCTGATCAACCTTCTACTGGAAAACTTAGTGGCAAAGGCAGATGCCATCTCTGTATACGAACTAATTGACCTCAGAGGTAGACTGTAATACTAAGTTCGAGCATTACCTTGGAGAGTAGAGATGAAGATTTTGCACATCAACGCGTCAGAGGCGTTCTAAGCTTGCATGCAAGAGTAGAAAGCATGCAGGTGATCATCGGGATCCTTCGTCCCATCATAAGTCTCGAGCTGAGGAATTTTGAAGCCAGCGGGATAAGGTTCCAGTGTGATGTTGGTGTTCAGAGGATGAGGTATGGAGTCAACAGCATGGTGTGTAAGTGGAGCACCTCGCTGTTCAGCCACAAGCTTTTCTAAGCTGTCTAAACGTCGGGTGACATCATTAGGGAGGGGTTGCTGAGCTGGTGCTATATGAGATTGACCTTGAGATTCACTAAGAGCAGAAGCATGCTGAACTGGTTGAGGATTCTGTTGTGGAGTGGGGTTGTTGAGCAGGGTTAAGGAGATTTATGAGGGGATCACCGGGGTTGTTCCGAGCTAAGAGTTAAGCCAATACTAACTGAAAAACACCAAACTGTTGTTCATGGCAGCAAGCTGAGCTGCAACTACGTCTTGGTTGGCGGTGGAAGTTGAGTTGTGAGCTGAGTTATGAGGTTGGTTTTCATCTCCTCCTTCTGCATGATCAACAAGAGGGAACACATTTGGGATTGGAGGTGGGAGCTGAGGTAGGAGGTTACTGGGGACCTGACCTCGTCCAAAAGGCTAAGATGAGTTTCCAGCTCGGACTGACCGAGTATTAACCATGATAAGAGCAACAAGGGAACTTTCAGTTGGGATTCCCACAGACGGCGCCAATGTAATTGCACCAAACCAGAGATCCTTCTTCAATCTGTGTCTTCACTTAAGATTGATCTGCAAAGCCCCGAGGTGGGTCCTCGGGGTAGACACTCCGATGCTTAAGTCAGCAATAATTGGGATTACCTTTAGAGCGGAGATAAAATGAGCTTAGGGTTGGTTTCAATTACCTTTTTGACGTGGCCCCGGGGGGTATTTATAGGCTCCAGCGAGGAACCCACGTGGCATGCCAAGCAAGATAGTCAGAACCTGACGTGTATCCAAACGGTTATTTCGGGACCGGGAATTTGAGAGATATTCGGATGTAAGGACGTCCATCGTAGATGCTGTGCGGCTCATTATAAAGAATCAAGTGCGGGCATGCTTACTGTTGCTATCATGCAATTGTTTTGAACGGGAATCTTTGGATTTATCCTTCACTTCGGTCATAAAGGAATTACTGTCGTACGTCCGAGGTTGGGCACCTCGGACCTGCCCTTACAAACACAAAACTATAAATTTGAAAGTTTGGATCAATGGGAGACCAAGCCTTTGGTTGACATTTGAGAATACTGCAACAAAAGTGCAGACAACACATTCCATTTTTTTGTGGTGGGTATCAGTAATTTCGGAGAAGATTAATGTAGGATGGGTGGCCATTACCCAAAGTGTATTTTATGAGTACAATGCCTAAATTAGGAACAGGATTACAGGAACATGAAAATCAAGCCTGCCCTGAATTTATTTTATATGTATATATATACGAGGATAGAAATTGAACTCCCAGAACAAAAACTGAATTTTGATTGAGGTCATTCCAATTTCTCCCAACTTTACATGATCTCACGTTAATTACTCTATTCTATACATATTTTACTGTACTATTTTCGGCTTTTTGTCTACTGGGGGAGCTCAAACTTGTTGGGAATTTTGAGCACCATAATCCCACACAAACGGATGTAATAAAGAAAATGTGCCAACAATTTAATGTAATTTGATTTATATATCTCTCAACAAGTTTACATCCACTGAGAAGAGGGAAATAAATCCACTATTAAAAAAAAGAGTACAATAATTTAGAAACTCTCTTACTCAAAAAGCTTTCAATACCGTAACTTTAATACATAGAAGATCCAAATTCTCCTTAATACTTTCTCTTAATCTTCACAAGGATTATCTCACAATTTCTCTCTTTCTTATCTCTCACAAGAGCCCTCACTCACTTAGTTCTTCCTAATTTCTCTTGCTTTCTCACACTCTTGCTTGCTTGTTGACTTTGCATGCATGGGTATTTATAGTGAAAAATCCAACCACCCATGCACCATTTTCTTTGCCTCATTACATGAGTTTATCATGCAATTTTACATGATTTCAACAAAGCAAATGCTAGCCCACAACTAGCTAGGTTGGTGAAGAAATTTTACCACATGGAAAGTTCATGTATTCATGTGGGGTTGGACTTTCTACCAACAATCTCCCCCTCCTACCACATGGGAGGACAAACCAACTATCATTCCATACACTTCAACAAAACTATGGGAGGGACAGAAGACAAACATGAAGATGAAAAGGAGAAGCACGAGGAAGTGGACGATTAGGAGGCTGAAAATGGAGAGAAAGCTAAAGAAGAAGAAAGACAAGGAATGTAAAAATAAGGAAGATACAGTAGGTGGTGGAAAGGAGAAACATAGGAAGATTCCTAAAGACAAGAAGAACCCAACATTCATAAAGGCTAAGCTCATAAAGCTCGAATCCAAGATGCAGGCTTTGGCTCTAAAGAAGGAAGAACTCCAGAAACTGCTGGAAGAAGATGAGAAATCTGCCGCAGCAAACCCAAACGGTTGAGATTTTCACCCATCCCCTACTTGTATATTGTTATTACTATTGTTATTATTTTTGGTATGTGGACCTTTGATCCAATGGCCTTGACTTGCATATTGTTATATGCAGTGCTGTTGTGAATATAGAAACCCGCGGTTTTGTAGTTGAATAATAAGGGTAAAAGAAATTCAATAGTTTTGAATTTGATTGCTTGATAATTTCAACAATGAAATTCAATTGTTTTGCACTTGAGCGTGTGTAGAGATAAAAAGAAAGAATGAGATTTATTTGAAGAAAATTTGGTTAAAACAGAGAATCTGAATTGAACAAACTAAGAATACAAATTACACTACAATGAATGTTGAAAGGATTTTGGCCAAGATGAAAGGAGATAATGAATTAATGAAGTATGAATTACCTCTTGCTTCGTATTTGGAGAGATTGCCTTGATAATGTGCCAAACTCTAGGTTTAGGGCATGGAATTTACATCTTTCCCTGCTTGGTAAAGCCATCAGCATCACATTGCTGATAAAAGTTTGATGCGGCAATGATGGTTTATCTAGTTCAAAGATCATGAAATCGAGATGCGAAAGTTCCGATGCACCAGCTTCCTCCTGTGATTTCAGAATTGCAAAGTTGAAAGCTCAAACTATGGCATTTTCTTGTGGACCATCAAGAAGAACGTGAATGGTTCTTGGAAATTTCCCATTAAACAGGTATCCTGGTGTTTCTTAGTACACAAGGAAGCTTCCCTTTTGGCTTCTTCTTTCCATTCTCAATAAATTTTTCCTACAACAGAAAATTAAAACAGCTTAAGAAAGAAGTCTGAACTATATGCTCTTTAAAAGTTTTTACAGAAAATAAGCATGAGCCCTAGTTCATACTTCCCTATAGGCAGAAAGGCCAGAGGTTATGTTCATCCCTACTCTTCACACAACCTGCTTTTTCTGGTGTTACTTCTTTCCATTCTTGACATATAATTTTCCTATGCATTTTGCATAGATCTTTTATACAAGGATTATATCCGGAGACAAGCACTTCATTTTCACTCTCAGAGCTTCGACTGGAGTTTTGATGTCTCCTGTCAAGGTAATCAATCTCCTAAATTTTTCTTGTTTAATATTCAGAGCTTTCGTTTGGAAACAGATAGATTTTACAATGTTACAGTTGAAGAGATTTTACCGGGACTCAAGTCAATTTTCAGAGTTGTTGTTCCGGATTCTGGAAAGGTGAATAAAATCTCTTCTTTGTTACATTCATTACCAAGAACAAGGATGATTTACGTATATATGTTATTGAGTGATATTATTCAACAGGCGGAATTGGAGTACTTGAATGATTATGTAGGAATTGGGGCCGAAGTAGGGATAAAGGCAAATTCCTCTGGAGAACTTTATCCGATTGTGAACTTCTCTGGTGTGATTGGGAGCAGTCTTGTATCTCTTGGGGCTGATCTTGGCTTTGACATAGCAACAGGGACACTCAACAAATTCAATGCCGGTTTGAGCTTCAACAGTGCCTTTCTTATTGCTTCCTTGACCTTGTGAGCAATCAAAATGGAATTAGAGAAAAATCTAGAAAAACAATGAAGCAGAATAAGAAATAAAAAAAGAAGATATTTTCACTTTTCTAGACAAAATTCTTAACATAAATACCATTGTCATGTTATGCAGGGACAACAGATTGGATAAGCTAAGAGTTTCATGCTACCGGCTTTTGAATCCCCTCACTAGTACTGCCATTGCAGCCGAATTGAAGCACAGTTTCTCAGAAAATAAAACCACGGTTAGTTTGGGTGCTCAGCATGCACTGTTCCCTTCTACCCTAGTGAAGGCTCAGGTGAACTCCAGTGGGAGTGTAGGTGCTGTTATTCGGCAAGCATTATGGCAGAAGTTCTTGGTAGGTATTGCTGGGGAGGTAGATTTCAGTGACACAAACAGCATTCCGAGAATCGGATTTTCAATGGCCCTCAGACCCTAGAACAAGACCAGAGATAAATCTTAAGAGATGGTGCTTCTGTCAAAAACTACAGTACTTGTGTTCCTTTCCTGAATCCAGGTTTTTCTGTAATGGGAGAATTATTCAGACTACGTTGCAAGGATTTCATAGAAATTAGCGAACAAAGTGAGGGAAAGCGTTTACAATTTCCTTAAATCAGGGATAAATAATGCAATGCTTGAAGTAAGTAGTACAAAAGGGTTGCAAACTAACTTTTCACCTGTCTTTTTCCTACCAAGCATAACCATATTTCCTAGCAAAGTAGCAATCTAAGAAACATGACAGATCGAGGAATAAAAGCTTTTTGACATAATCACAAACAAAATGAACACTCAAGATCAACGAAATAGAAGAAATTAAGTGGCATATGCACAGGATGCACGTTTGCTGCTTGCTGTGTACAAACAACAGTCTCCACTTTTTTTTTTTTTTTTGAAAGGCAATAATTTATGAATAATTGGAGTACAAGGGTACTCTACCTCCATACATTACAACTGGGGCACCATGTCATATTTCATACAAAATTATGTTCAAATTGGGAAATATAAACGCTCAGAATCCCTTACCCTGCTGCACTAGTAATAATAAAACTATGCAAGCTTCTGTGCAACAGTCCTCTCCCTAATGGGTGCATTCAAGTGGCCCTAACAACCAGTCATTAAACCTATGTTTGGATAAAAATTAGTAAAGGAAAGAAAGGGGAGGGGAGGGGAAGGAAGGGGAGGAGAAGTGAAGGGAAGGAAAAAGTTGAAATTAATTTTGTTTGGATAGATAAAAGTGAAAGAGAAGAAAAGATAATATTTTTATTTAATTAAATAATTTAATAAAAAAATAAAATAAAGAAAAATAAAATTT